CTCATCCCCTTCCCACTCATAAATTCCGGTTACAGTTTCAGTTCATCTCGACCCCATATTTGCAAAATGGGGCAAATTTCCAACAAGAAAAAGTCTTTGTGAAGGAAATACACGTCTGCGTGGGGATGTGTTGGGTATATTCAGGGGACACTACTTCCGTAATGTTGTTGTGCCCAAATTGCAAGGCCTGAGTTAGATGCACCGGCCTAATTTAGGCCCTTCAATTGAGGAGGCCATCATTTTTGTTAAAATGTTTCTGAAGATTTTTACGATTGATTTTATGCTTTTCAGGGTTGGAATGGAATTAAACCGGACAATGAACCCGACAAATGTATGTGTTTTGCTTTGTTAAGGCCATTTTTTTTGTCTTAGAAGTTTTTCGTAAATCCACAATTATGCGGTAAATTTTCTTCACAAAATTTGCACTGGTTGCGGTGATACGAAACTCATGAAGTTATTCGATATTAGGCGAAGATTTTCAGCACGGGATCGATGGCGTCAATTTTTTATCACCAAAATTGAGATTTTTTTAAAATATGGAACCCCCATTGTCAACTTACTATTGAGTTTGCTTGAAATACCATCTCACGTACCGACACGTGGAATTTGACGTCAAGAATTTTGTAAATCTGTATCTTGAGAGTACAGAAATTCTGTAAGCGCACTCCATGATTATATTTAAATAATCACGCCTAAAAAACAACCTTCATTTCGTCCTATATCTCCCGTACGAACAAGTGAAATTTGTGATTTTAAGTTGTAAGTGTGCGCGGAACATTCCCTGAAAATTTCAGCTTCCCTGGTTCCTGAATTAGCCATTTTCCCGCCATAAATTTCCACGTGGCCGCGCATAGAAAGAGGCTAAATTTAGTAACTTTATACATGTGTTGGAAACAATCCCTGAAAATTTTAGCCTCGTAGCTTTCCTGACTCCCGAGTTAGCCATTTTCCCGCCAAAAACTTTTACGGGGCCATACGTGGGGACCACGCACAGAGAGAGGGACTGAGTTTAGTAACTTTAAGGTGTAGATCTGCTGGGGGCATCTCCTGAAATTTCAGCGCCTCCAGCTCAGTATAAAGTTGGCGATCTGTATTTTTCATCAGAATTTCTCTGATTCGTCATCAGGATTGTCTTGTAATATCGTCAAGATTATTTTTAAGATTGTTTATCACTAAGATTGTTTTTGTTGCCCCTGCTACCAAAACGGTCCCGAACATCGGTGGAAAACTGTTGATTCTTTCCCCACCCAGACCGCCCGAACCATCACTGTAAAGTCTTCCATTATCAGTGCTCTATACATTGCGTTTTCAGCCCAGTGAAGCAATGAACGATACTGCCAGTGTTGCTCAGCTTTCGCCTGGATCGCCAGAAAATGGTCCCACAGCTAAAAAGATCCGAAAAATGATCAAACCGGCCTCCATCAATGCACATATTAACGGGGTACTTTTTTATTTTAATTCTTGTGCTTTTTTTTTTGCATTTATGCAGTGCAAAAACGCATATTGTCGAGGGGTTGTTGTGTGTGTGTGTGTGTTTGTGTGTGTGTTCAGCTTTACCGATTTTTCAGACCTGCAAAAGCTACAGAGCTGAAAATTTGAGAACTTAATCTACATACATGTGCGGGCCTTTATCCCCAAAATAGGCACTCTTGCCCACGTGATTACCACGTACAGGTCCGTGAAAATTTTTGGCGGGTAAGTTGCTAAGTCGGGAACCAGAAAAGCTAGAAAGCTGAAATTTTAAGGGAATGTTTTCTGGCAGTCGTGGTGGCCAGCCTCAGTTTTAACTACAACCATCTGCCGGAAAAAACAGTGCCGTTGGCGACAGAAACTTGCTGGGAACTATGCAAAAAGAAAAACATCTTCGCACCGGCAGTCGTTCGCCGACCGATTATTTGCTTTTGTACAGTTATTTCCTTTTTTGTTTATTATTTTCCCCATGGCTGGGACGGCCTGTGGCTGGTTCGGGATTTTGTTGCCAGCGTTGATTGCTCTCTGTCAACATATGTTTTTGCTTCCCCACGTTGCGGGATCGAGAATAAGTTCCATCTCAGTTGCTGAGTTGTTTTTAGTTGTGAATTGGTCTCAAATTCTTAAAAATACGTTTTTGTGTGATTGAAATTTTTCTGGCAACAATGCAGCAGTGCTAAAATAACGGTGTTTTCAGGATGTTACATCGCATGTTCTTTCATTCAAATGCTTATTTTGTGAAGCATTCATCTTTACTTTGCAAAGGTTATTTAGTCCTTTTATCCACCAAGACATTGCTTTTACTTTGCCCTGTAAAAACCAATCCCTGTATGGTTCTTTGAGTGGAAGAGTGTTGTGATGAAGTATATTGGGAAAGTGATGTGATAAAGTTTGGATGCTATTTAGAAGGACTGTACTTAGAAGGGCCTGAATTGGACAAATTGTTTTTTTAGCCGCTATTTTATGCATCGTAACTGTAACAATTTGAAAGAGATGGAAAAAGCGGAGAAAAAAAAATCATCAAAGCTATAATAATAAATATAAAAAGCACTCCTGATTTTTGAAGTAAATGGGACGAAATGAATGCAGTAAGGAGTTAAAAGTTGAAATCCCCTTCCTATTTGTTTTCTCTGAGAAGTGGAAGCAGTCGGAAGTAGCCCAAATGGTAGCACTGTCAGTAACAGTCATCTGTTCACTAGGCCATTTAAGGGCAGTTTGAAAATACAGTTGTTGTGAACAGAGCCCTTTCTCCAAAAATTGTTTTGGCCCGATAGGGAATCGAACCACTCCCCTTCACACGCGGGCGCAGTGTGTTACCAGTGCACCACCGGTCCTTGTGCTCCAGTCTGGCAGCACATCTACTGTGCATCCGCTTTTCACGGCAAGATACACCCTTCTCTTTTTTCTTTTCGGTGGTTTCTTCTTTTTGCAGTTTTACAGCGACAACAATAAAGATCGTTGAAACTAGTTAATACAAAAAAATATAATTAAGATATAGAAGAAATTAGCCCCCTGTGCACAGCTGCTATTTTACACCAACATCACAACTAGCCTACTAATAAGATTCAGCTGTAGTGCTAAATAAGAATATATACGACTTAATGAACTGGAATTTTCCTGTATCATCATTAATATTTTCATATTTTTCTTAACGCATGTGAATAAGCCTAAAATTGTGCTGCTCTTCCAGCTTTATAATTCATCTGAAAAGTTCTCATCCAAATGAAGATGTCTCGGAGATGCTCAGTGATCATTTTCGTTCCTGTATTGTATCGGTGGAAAAGGAAAAAGTTGTTGTTGTTTCGTATGGTAAGATTTATGATCGTTTTTTATCTAGGTTTACAGGCATTACTCGGAGTTATTTCCCAAAAATTTTGAGGATGTGACTTTTAAGTTGTTTTTTTTTTCTCACGGGGAATGTCTCTGTCTGTTTTTTCTCCCCAGATAGCATCTTTTTGTTCTTTCCCAGAGAAGAAGAGTGAGATGGTCCTATGAGACTTATATGGTATGCTTGGATTATCTGTAATTCAGAACGTTTGCGTTGCAGTTTGATAAATTTTGCTAAAAATATTTATAATTTTTTTTCTGACTACATTCTATATAAAAAGAAAGTTTTCAGCATTCCCACGTCAGGATGTTGGTTTTTACGTGAGCGTCGATGATGCTTCGCCTGATTCGTCGTCAAATTCAGTATGTGTTGTTAAATCGAAGCCTCATTTGGATTTTTCAGTTGAGGTTTGAGTTTTACACGTTTAATAAAAACATGTAAATTCTGGACAACAGATTTTTTTGATTATTGTATTATAGAGGATCCGTCATTTCAGGTGGAAAAGGAGCCAGATGATGAAGAATCAAGTGTTACGCAGCTTGTAGAACCGAGTGATGTTTGTATACGAAGAAATTACAATAAAGTTCAGGTAAACTACTGCCATTTATTATCTTTTTTACATTTTGCGGTTCTAAAAAATGGCGAAGCAAATCAATGTCTCGAAAGACCCGTGAAAAACCAGCGAAGAAGCCGCCACAAAAAAAAAGAAAAGGAAGGTGGGTTTTGCCTTGAAAAACAGATACACAGTAGATGTGCTGTCAGACTGAACTGGAGCAAAGAATCGGTGGTGTAGTGGTAGTTTATTGCGTTCGGACGTGAAGGAGTGTGGTTCGATTCCCTCCTGGTCCAGAACGATTTTTGAAAAAGGGCTCCGCCCGAAACAGTTAGGGTGTACTTTCTGCAAGAAAGTTAGAATATGGTGTGCTGAGGAAATGATCTTAAAAAAAAGTGCGCGAAAAATACAATATATTTAAAATCCTAGCCTGCCGCCTTTCTGAGCTTCATGCTTAGACCGACAATTACAGCGTTGAAGGTGCGGCATTTCAGCAGTAAGTCCTTTTTATTGCCCGCCAAATGAAGAAAATAAAATTCCGAAACTTCTAGTTATGGTACTTTTATAATTTTACCATATCATAATTTTACCATACGTTCTCCTTTTATCCACTTGTTACTACTCGCGTCCATCATACTTTTCGACTAATTTTTCACCAATGTTTTGGATTTTTTGTATTCAGAATTTCCAATTTTTTCAGTTTTCTACTTTTTTTTCATATTCAAAAGTTGACAGAAAGCTTGGTTATGCTTTACTGCAGGTGGCTACAAAAAGTTTAAGTCCGGAAATCAGAAGCAACGAATCCTCGTCTGACTGCAGTACAAACGCATCAGATGGAGATGCGCAACAGCAGCAGCACGTGAATGACCATGGTGACTCAACAGCTAGCGCAGGGGCTGTTATGCGTAGTCCAGATCGACAGCAACCTACCAAAGGTTCAATCCCGGTAAGTTTAGAGTTTTACTTGAAAAGTAGACTTGATTGTAATAATTATTACTCAAATATGATTTCACGGCATGCGATGAGGGACAAGGTTTTTTTTTGGATTTTAACCAAGATTACTGAGCAAATGAGGAATTTTTGTAGAAAAAAGACGATATTAAACGGCATAACCGATTGACTGGTGCTCACTCTCTTTACCGCTTTCTTTTTGTTTGTGCTGTTCACAGAAATTTGTTAAGTGACCCCATTTTTTGTGAATAAATTGAAAAGATTGCCTTCTTTGCCATCTCACTATGTAGGTGTGCGGCACTTTAAGGTGTGTGGTAACGGTAAGAAATGTATATGACTTAATGGACCGAGACATTTCTTACCTATTAAACTATTTCCGTACTTCTATTTCCCTTTTCCACTTCGTTTTTCTTTTCTTTCCTTCTTTATTTTTTCTACTTCATCATTTTCTCTTTATCCTTTAATGAATGAGTCTTACCGGGTGCAGTATTATCGTTTTGTAAGTGATACATTATGGAAGAGCTTGGGAAAATTTCAGGTTTCATCGGTTGGCTCAACAGGCTGCACACGGAGTACGACACCAGTGTTGTCTGCAGAGATCAGTCGTCGACGACAAATGTCCAGCTATGAGAAGATGATGGCATTAACATGTCAAAGATGTGGACAGAGGTAGATGCTTTTTTTAATTTTGTTAAGATAAATCGGCATTCAGCTCTGATATCCTTCGGATTACGAACTGCAGCTGGTTCCGGGCGAATTCCTC